TTTTCCATTCTCTAGTACACCTTGTTTTTGCCTCCCTACACCTTTGAGTGAACCACGGACTTGTTCTGTTCTTCCCATTATGAACAAACCTCTCCTCTGCTCTTTGCATTTTGTTGCCACATAGTCCATCATTTCTTGTACTGGTTTTCCTCTCAGTTCCCTCTCCCACTGAATGTCTTGCAGGAAGTTCCTCATGCCTGAGTAGTTCCCCCTTTTGTAGTTTGGTTTTTCCCAACCTATTCCTGCTACTCTCTCCACTTGGAGCTCAACTATGTAGTCGAAGCACAGAACCACATGATCACTAGCTCCCAGGGGCCTTTCATACATGATATCCTCGATGTCTGAACTACTCAAGGTGAATACAAGGTCCAGTCTTGCTGGTTCACCCTCTACTCTCTCTCACTGGTAGTGTCTCTAACATGTTGATGCATGAGGTTTTCCAGTACCACATCCATCATCTTGGCTCTCCATGTTTTGGAACCCCCATGGGGCTCCAGGTTTACCCAGTCAATCTCCTTGTGATTGAAATCACCCATAACTAGCAACTTTGCTCCCCCCATGTGTGCTCTCCTGGCCACCTCAGCTAGTGTGTCGACCATTGCTCTGTTGCTCTCATCGTATTCTTCTCTTGGCCTCCTGCAGTTCTGTGGTGGGTTGTACATTACTGCAATTATCACCTTATGTCCCTCAGACTGGATTGTTCCTACTAAGTATTCCCTTTCGCCCATGCCATCCATTCCTTCCATTTTCTCAAAACCTCACAACTCCTCCTCCCCCTCTCCTCCCTCTGTCTTTCCTGAGGATTTGATATCCAAATGGAAAGATTGAATCTGTTATTATTCTGGTGAGTTTTGTTTCTGTGAGTGCTATTATGTCTGGGGATGTCTCCTTGATTCTTTTATACCACTCCTCATACTTATTTGTTTTTCCATCTGCATTTGTATACCACACCTTCAACTTCTTTTGTGGGAGGTATATTGGGGTTGGGGAAGTGGGAGACCTGATATGGAACTATGGGTGGTTGCTGTGGGGGGTGGAGTTTGTAATGCAGTTGGTGGTGGCATTGGATATGGCATAGGTGTTTTGTTTTAGAGTGTTTGGTTGCACTGTGGCTGACCTGTGTGTGTGTGTTTGTATGTATATATAGCCTAAACTGCACTGAACCTTTCTTCAGTTTAATTACACCAGCATTAAAATTTATGCTCTGAAGTGGTATATATATATAATATTAATAATAATAAATATATATATATATATATATATATATATTATATATATATATATATATATATTATAGTATATAATATAGTTATAGGTAAAGGTAGTTTACGATGGTAGACAGCATAACAGCAACCCCAGGGAGGTACTACCGTCCTGCCAAGTGAGTGTAAAACGAAAGCCTGTAATTGTTTTACATGATGGTAGGATTGCTGGTGTCTTTTGTCTGTCTCATAAATATGCAAGATTACAGGTACGTCTTGCTACTTCTACTTACACTTAGGTCACACTACACATACATGTACAAGCACATATATACACCCCCCTCTGGGTTTTCTTCTATTTTCTTTCTAGTTCTTATTCTTGTTTATTTCCTCTTATCTCCATGGGGAAGTGGAACAGAATTCTTCCTCCATAAGCCATGCGTGTTGTAAGAGGCGACTAAAATGCCGGGAGCAAGGGGCTAGTAACCTCTTTTCCTGTATATATTACTAAATGTAAAAGGAGAAACTTTTGTTTTTCCTTTTGGGCCACCCCGCCTCGGTGGGATACGGCCGGTGTGTTGAAAGAAGGAAAGATATATATATATATATATATATATATATATATATATATATATATATATATATATATATATATATATTATATATATATATATAGTATATAATTATTGTAACCACAGAACAAGTGGTACTGATCAATAACAACACTGCACTAGCCAAGGAGTCGAGCCCCTGCTGTTTCGGCCCGCCTCATGGTGAGAAAACGCATGATGCTTTAGACCACTAGAACACACAATTCTTAACAATGGTGCATCCAGCCAAACTAGATGCTGTACCCACCATCGAAGGACATACAGTGGTGTGGACGCCTCTGAGCTAATTTCATTCTACTCCCTGATTGTGTACTAGCTCAAGAAGCAGTGAGTACAACATCTAGCTTGGATTGGTACACCTGTAAACAGAACACAACTTCATATTAATTGTAATATAGCCATGGCAATAGCTATAATATAGTAATAGCTATACAGTTATGGGAAAAAAACAAGAGTATTAATGCATTATTTGTGAATAGACACCCCACTTCACAAAGGGGGCAGTAAAGCAACAGCAAAGAACTACAGACCAATAGCACTAACATCCCATATCATAAAAATCTTTGAAAGGGTCCTAAGAAGCAAGATCACCACACATCTAGAAACCCATCAGTTACACAACCCAGGGCAACATGGGTTTAGAACAGGTCGCTCCTGTCTGTCTCAACTATTGGATCACTACAACAAGGTCCTAAATGCACTAGAAGATAAAAAGAATGCAGATGTAATATATACAGACTTTGCAAAAGCCTTCGACAAGTGTGACCATGGCGTAATAGCACACAAAATGCGTGCTAAAGGAATAACAGGAAAAGTCGGTCGATGGATCTATAATTTCCTCACTAGCAGAACACAGAGAGTAGTCGTCAACAGAGTAAAGTCCGAGGCAGCTACGGTGAAAAGCTCTGTTCCACAAGGCACAGTACTCGCTCCCATCTTGTTCCTCATCCTCATATCCGACATAGACAAGGATGTCAGCCACAGCACCGTGTCTTCCTTTGCAGATGACACCCGAATCTGCATGACAGTGTCTTCCATTGCAGACACTGCAAGGCTCCAGGCGGACATCAACCGAATCTTTCAGTGGGCTGCAGAAAACAATATGAAGTTCAACGATGAGAAATTTCAATTACTCAGATATGGTAAACATGAGGAAATTAAATCTTCATCAGAGTACAAAACAAATTCTGGCCACAAAATAGAGCGAAACACCAACGTCAAAGACCTGGGAGTGATCATGTCGGAGGATCTCACCTTCAAGGACCATAACATTGTATCAATCGCATCCGCTAGAAAAATGACAGCATGGATAATGAGAACCTTCAAAACTAGGGAGGCCAAGCCCATGATGACACTCTTCAGGTCACTTGTTCTATCTAGGCTGGAGTATTGCTGCACACTAACAGCACCTTTCCAGGCAGGTGAAATTGCCGACCTAGAAAATGTACAGAGAACTTTCACGGCATGCATAACGGAGATAAAACACCTCAATTACTGGGAGCGCTTGAGGTTCCTAAACCTGTATTCCCTGGAATGCAGGAGGGAGAGATACATGATTATATACACCTGGAAAATCCTAGAGGGACTAGTACCGAACTTGCACATGAAAATCACTCACTATGAAAGCAAAACACTTGGCAGGCGATGCACCATCCCCCCAATGAAAAGCAGGGGTGTCACTAGCACGTTAAGAGACCATACAATAAGTGTCAGGGGCCCGAGACTGTTCAACTGCCTCCCAGCACACATAAGGGGGATTACCAACAGACCCCTGGCAGTCTTCAAGCTGGCACTGGACAAGCACCTAAAGTCAGTTCCTGATCAGCCGGGCTGTGGCTCGTACGTTGGTTTGCGTGCAGCCAGCAGCAACAGCCTGGTTAATCAGGCTCTGATCCACCAGGAAGCCTGGTCACAGACCGGGCTGCGGGGGCGTTGACCCCCGGAACTCTCTCCAGGTAAACTCCAGGTAAAGTCAGTACCTTACCGGCCAGGCTATGGTTCGTACATCGATTTGCGTGTGGCCAGCATTAACAGCCTGGCTGAGCAGGCCCTGATCCAATGCCAAGCCTGATCATGGACCAGGCCACGAGGACAATGACCCTCGGAATACCCTCCATGTATACTCCAGGTATTGCAATGCTCTTTTGTTTACACATGGATGTGAGAGTAGCAGAGGGTGCATCAGCCGTTTTAATCGAAGCCAGGCTGGGAGAAGCTGCTCTTCTGGGCAAAGTGTGAGTTGCCCAGAAGGTAAGACATATAACAAAGTTCTGATGCTCTCTCAATAGTGCCACAGGGTTACTACACTGTATAAAAACACTGGGCAAAGGCAACCAAGAAGGAAAATATGAGTACTTGTCTTCAGACAGATGACCATTGAGATCCATGTCTCTATCCCACAATACAGGTGGAAACATTGGGTGTATATATATACTGGCGTCCCTGGTAAAGGGTTTTAACTGAGTTCTTGGGGTTAGCCGAGCCAATATTTTGACACAAAAACGTGGCACTATTTGATTTTGGCATTAGCCGATGACGCCATTACACAAGGGTCCACTGTACTTGGAAAATCCTAGAGGGATTAGTACAAAACTTTCACACAAAAAATCACTCCCTATGAAAGCAAAAGACTCGGCAGGAGATGCAACATTTCCCCAATAAAAGGCAGGGGCACCAAAAGTACACTGAGACAACACAATAAGTGTCCGGGGCCCAAGACTGTTCAACTGCCTCCAGGCATACGTAAGGAGAATTACCAACAGACCCCTGGCTGTCTTCAAGAAGGCACTGGACAGGCACCTAAAGTCAGTACCTGACCAACTGGGCTGTGGTTTGTACGTCAGTTTGCATGTGATCAGCCAGTACTGCCCTTCACCAAATTGTAGCATTCTCATACTGTAAACTACTAGAAACTACTTTTGAATCATGCTTCATAAAAAGCATTTTTGAAAATATGAATATGTTCTTGTTTGTATAGATTCACTTATAATTAACAGAACTACTGTAAAACTCTGATAAATTTCATTAGTGTTGTAGTCAGTAAGCCATTAAGTCGGCCCATAATGCCTAGGCATAATAGAGGCTCTCTTTGCACTGCAACCCATTATTATAAATACATAATCTCAATGTACTACTTGCAAATAAATAAATAAATTTGAATTTGAATGGACAAAACTATTCTATTTACCTTAAGGAACTTCTGGACAGCATTATGTGCTCTGGGACACTGAACTTTTCGTGTGTCATGCAACACCTCAACAAGTGTTGCTCCAGCATCTTCAGCATTTTGCACCAATTCCTGTAAAGTAAGATTTTAATTTTATGTCATTATCAGTGTGATTTAGTTGTTTTAGAGTACAAGCCACTGTGCACTAAAATTTACTGTTTCTTCATACATCAATTTATTACCGAACTTCTTTATATTTTTTACCCTAAAGTCACAATACACAAAGCTCTGACCCTAACCTGGACTTAAAAACTTCTTTAAAGACAATAAGATTAAGCATTTTCATCCATTTGTTAGAACAAAAGTTCAGATTCTCTAAATGATGTCTTGCAAAAAATGTGTGGTGCCATGAATCTTGTGAAATGTAAGCAAATATACCTGGAGGGGGTTTCGGGGCTCAACGCCCTCACGGCCCGGTCCATTACCAAGCCTTGTAGTGGTTCAGGACCTGATCAACCAGGCTGTTACTTCTGGCTGCACCAAGTTGACATACGAATCACAGACGAGCTGATCAGCCTTTCTTGAAGACAGCCAGGGGTATATGTATGCTGGGAGGCAGATGAACAGGCTTGGGTCCCTAACACTTATTGTGTAGTCTCTTAGTGTACTCATGGTAACCCTGTTTTTCACTTGGGGGATGTTGCATTTCCTGCCAAGTCTTTTGCTTCCGTAGTGAGAAATTTTCGCATGCATATTTGGGACTAGTGTCTCTACAATTTTCCAAGTGCATATTTTCAGGTATCTTTCTTGCTTGCATTTCATGGAGTACAGATCAAGGGACTTCAACCATTCCCAGTAATTTAGGTACTCTATCATACTTATATGTTTACCTGGAGTTTACCTGGAGAGAGTTCCGGGGGTCAACGCCCCCGCGGCCTGGTCTGTGACCAGGCCTCCTGGTGGATCAGAGCCTGATCAACCAGGCTGTTGCTGCTGGCTGCACGCAAACCAACATACGAGCCACAGCCCGGCTGGTCAGGAACCGACTTTAGGTGCTTGTCCAGTGCCAGCTTGAAGACTGCCAGGGGTCTGTTGGTAATCCCTCTTATGTATGCTGGGAGTCAGTTGAACAGTCTCGGGCCCCTGAAAACTTATTGTATGGTCTCTTAACGTGCTAAATGACACCCCTGCTTTTCATTGGGATGTTGCATCGTCTGCCAAGTCTTTTGCTTTCGTATGATGAATTTTCGTGTGCAAGTTCGGTACTCGTCCTCTAGGATTTTTCCCGGTGTATATAATCATGTAAACTCTCCCGCCTGCATTCCAGGGAATACAGTTTTAGGAACCTCAAGCGCTCCCAGTAATTGAGGTGTTTTATCTCCGTTATGCACGCCAGAAGGTTCTCTGTACATTTTCTAGGTCAGCAATTTCACCTGCCTTGAAAGGTGCGTTAGTGTGCAGCAATATTCCACCTAGATAGAACAAGTGACCTGAAGAGTGTCATCATGGGCTTGGCCTCCCTAGTTTTGAAGGTTCTCATTTTTCCATGCTGTCATTTTCTAGCAGATGCATTTATACAATGTTATGGGCCTTGAAGGTGAGATTTCCCCCGACATGATCACTCCCAGGTCTTTGACGTTGGTGTTTCGCTCTATTTTTTGGCCAGAATTTGTTTTGTACTCTGATGAAGATTTAATTTCCTCGTGTTTACCATATCTGAGTAATTGAAATTTCTCATCGTTGAACTTCATATTGTTTTCTGCAGCCCACTGAAAGATTCGGTTGATGTCCGCCTGGAGCCTTGCAGTGTCTGCAAAGGAAGACACGGTGCTGTGGCTGACATCCTTGTCTATGTCGGATATGAGGATGAGGATCAAGATGGGAGCGAGTACTGTGCCTTGTGGAACAGAGCTTTTCACGGTAGCTGCCTCGGACTTTACTCTGTTGACGACTACTCTCTGTGTTCTGTTAGTGAGTAAATTATAGATCCATCGACCGACTTTTCCTGTTATTCCTTTAGCACGCATTTTGTGTGCTATTACGCCATGGTCAAACTTGTCGAAGGCTTTTGCAAAGTCTGTATATATTACATCTGCATTCTTTTTATCTTCTAGTGCATTTAGGACCTTGTTGTAGTGATCCAATAGTTGAGACAGACAGGAGCAACCTGTTCTAAACCCATGTTGCCCTGGGTTGTGTAACTGATGGGTTTCTAGATGTGTGGTGATCTTGCTTCTTAGGACCCTTTCAAAGATTTTTATGATATGGGATGTTAGTGCTATCGGTCTGTAGTTCTTTGCTGTTGCTTTACTGCCCCCTTTGTGGAGTGGGGCTATGTCTGTTGTTTTTAGTAACTGTGGGACGACCCCCGTGTCCATGCTCCCTCTCCATAGGATGGAAAAGGCTCGTGATAGGGGCTTCTTCCAGTTCTTGATGAACACGGAGTTCCATGAGTCTGGCCCTGGGGCAGAGTGCATGGGCATGTCATTTATCGCCTGTTCGAAGTCATTTGGCGTCAGGATAACTTCGGATAGGCTTGTGTTAACCAAATTTTGTGGCTCTCTCATAAAAAATTCATTTTGATCTTCGACTCTCAGTCTGGTTAGCGGCTTGCTAAAAACTGAGTCATATTGGGACTTGAGTAGCTCACTCATTTCCTTGCTGTCATCTGTGTAGAACCCATCTTGTTTAAGTAGGGGCCCAATGCTGGACGTTGTTCTCGACTTTGATTTGGCATAGAAGAAATACTTTGGGTTTCTTTCGATTTCATTTATGGCTTTTAGTTCTTCCCACGATTCCTGAATCCTATAAGATTCCTTTAGCTTGAGTTCAATGCTTGCTATTTCTCTGACCAGTGTCTCTCTACGCATTTCAGATATATTGACCTCTTTTAGCCGCTCTGTTATTCTTTTCCGTCGCCTGTAAAGGGAGTGCCTGTCTCTTTCTATTTTACATCTACTCCTCCTTTTTCTTAGAGAAATAAGCCTTGTGCATACATCGAGTGCCACCGAGTTAATCTGTTCTAGGCATAAGTTGGAGTCTGTGTTGCTTAGTATATCTTCCCAGCTTATATCGGTTAGGACTTGGTTTACTTGGTCCCACTTTATGTTTTTGTTATTGAAGTTGAATTTGGTGAATGCTCCCTCGTGACTAGTCTCATTATGTCGGTCTGGGGCTCCATGCATACATGTCTGAACCTCAATTATGTTGTGATCTGAGTATATTGTTTTTGATATGGTGACATTTCTTATCAGATCATCATTGTTAGTGAAGATGAGGTCTAGTGTATTCTCCAGTCTAGTAGGCTCTATTATTTGCTGGTTTAAATTGAATTTTGTGCAGAGATTTAAAAGCTCGTGTGAGTGTGATTTTTCATCAGAGCTGCCTCCTGGCGTTATTACTGCAACAATATTATTTGCTATATTCCTCCATTTTAGGTGCCTTAAAAGTTCTCTGTACATTATCCAGGTCTGCATTTTTGCCTGCCTTGAAAGGAGCCATTAATGTACAGAAATATTCTAACCTAGAGAGAACAAGCAATTTGAAGAGAATCACCATGAACTTGGCATCCTTACTTTTGAAGGTTCTCATTATCCATCCTATTATTTTCCTACCAGATGTGTCAGATACATTGTTGTGAACTTTGAAAGTGAGATTTTCTGACATTATCACTCCCTGGTCCTTCACATTAGTTTTTTGCTGTATTGTGTGGTTGGGATTTTTTTTAATACTCGACTATAGTTTTAATGCTTTGAAGGTCCATCCCGTTTTTCTACAGCTTTGAATTCTGGGTCTAAGCTGTAGTACTACTTCATAAGCTCAGCTCACCTATATAAGCTGCAAGCAGTAAATTTGGGTCTAGATATGAGATAATGCATTTATGTGGTAAGTGCACACCATATAAAACAAATTCTGCAGCAAGCAGTGTATATGAGAAAAAACTGAGACTGTGTTTTTGGATTAAAGCAGCGACTTATTTTCGTATGGTTTTAATGTTGAATTCGCGGTTTCTTGGTCTCAATTGAAAGAATGGAGGATATATTACAGAAATAGAGATGATTTTGATTGGTTTTATTAGTGAAAATTGCTTGAAACTGAGCTGAAAGTAGCGGAAAAGTTCAATTTTTGCCGATGTTCAAGATTCAACAAATCACATCACGTGTCCAATACACGTCAGCTGGTGGGTCTAATGTGCATTCATGAATGCACTGATATTATTTACACAATTATTACAGTATTGCATAACAGCAAATCTTCCATTTTTTTGTGAATAAAAATTCTTTATGTGAACAAAAAACCAAAATGAGATTCATCTGTAAAGTCTGGAAACTAATAAATAGAGGGTTTGTACCTCTCAAAGGGTTAATTTCCTCAAGTTTTCCATGAATTTCATATTTTTTTTTCTGCTGCCAATTTGAAGATTTGGTTGATGTCTACTTGGAGATTCAGCGTCTTTGATGGATGAGTGTCATTCACAAAGGAGGACATGGTGCTTTGGCTTACATCTCTGTCTGTATCAGATATGAGGATGAGAAACTGGATGGGAGCGAGTACTGTACCTTGTTGTAACAGTTTTTAACTGTAGCCGCCTCTGACTTTACTAAACTACTAGGTTGCCTGTGGCTTATAATAAGCATCCTTAGATCAACATACAAAACATCACTAAGAAAAACCATATAGACAGAACACAATAACTAAAGAACTTAGCAAAAACTATACAACTGTCCTCACAAAACTAATAAGAAAGTCCAAGCAACTGTATTATACTAATAGATTCACTGATACGAGATGAGATACTGAACACCCAAAAAACTGAACAGAACTAAAGATACTGTCCTAACAAAACCAAAAAAACCACAGCTCCAGCCTAGTGAAACAGCCAATAAGATAAATTATTTCTTCTTAACCATAAAAATCAAGCCTTGCTAGTAAAATTCCAAGCACTAATACCTGAGTAAGTGATTACTTAAAAGGAAACGTCCCTCTATCTTACTTCCACCAAACTCACTGAAGTCACCCAGGTTATTAATTCATTAAAAATCAAACCAGGAAAACTAGTTCACATTCCACCACTATTCAAATAAGGGGTTCAAATCCTCTCACTCACCTTTACATTACATTTTAACAAATCA